CCCCCCCCCCCCTCCCCGGAACTGGGGATTGAACTCAGGCCCTTGTGCTTGCCAGGGAAGCCTTACTCCACTGAGCCATCTCCCCAGCCGATATTGTCTCTTAATATCTGTTGTAAGTGGATGGTGGTTGTGTGTATGTGCACATACATATTTTAAGTCTAATCTATGACGTATTAAATACCTACTGTTTATTGGTTACTCTGCTGTGTATACTACATATTTCATTCAAGAGCATGTTTAAGGCTTGTGTTTCCTTTACTTCAGTAAAGAATTATGTCCATTTTTCCTCTCTTCTTTTAGATGAACTGAAGCACATTATTGGAGCTGAGACAACACGGAAAGGTATTCTTCGTGTTTTTGAAATGTTTCAGCACAACCAGTTAAATAGGAGAATGGTTTATGTCTTCTTGGAAGGCTTTTTAGAAACATTATTTCCACAATATAAATTTCGTGAACTTTTCAACAAACTGCATTCACGGTCAAAGCAGATGCAGAAATATAAACAGAAACTTCAAACTACTCAAGCACCTTCTTTACAGAAAAGGTGACACTACAATCTGTGAAGCTGGTGTTCATTTTGTCCAGAACTGATGATATGGACAGATCTTCTGGGGCTTAACTCATATACTGTTGTATCTGCACCAGTCTTTTAGGGTCTCAAAATAGGTTGTTAATACATCCACGAGACTGGTTCTGCTCATCCTCATCTATAGTCCAGCCACTACCAAGAGAGATTTCTGTGTTTTAAATGATTTGGTGCATAATTTGCAACACTGAGAGAATATTGTCCCCATCTCAAGCAAGAATGATGTCGGTCCCTTCCGCTTCAAGCTAATCAGCATTCTCCAGCAGTGACAGAGTGCCAGAGCTAAGGAAAGCACAAGACAATGGTTCACAGATAAATTCATTAATTTGTTTAACAGTTGAAGACTGTGCAATGTACACTTTGGAGAAATTTGTTGTGCATAATGATTTTGTAATTTGGTGTCAGCATTTTGATGTAGTGTGGACTAGCCAGGTAAATGATCTTTGCAACATTTGTTTCAGGTCTGGGAAAAGTGACAAGAATGCCCTTAAAGTATGACATAATTTATTCCTATAATTATAATTTTGTGATATAAAATTAAATTCTGAGTATAAAGTAAAATAAATCAAAAAGTTTGGTTAGATTTAATATTCATTGGTATAAAACAAGCTAATTAATTCATACATGCTTTAAGGACTGTGTTGTGCTCTTGCTAAGTTTTCTTTTGGCACTCTGCAGAAAAGCATGTGGTAGCTTTCACTTAAGTTTCAAGATTATTAGTTTTAGCTTTAACAGATTACTGATTATACAGAAGGGGAATAATTTGTTTGAAGAACTGCCAAATACATTGTCTTTCTAAAAATATGGAGATTAAAAGAAAACAGTACTCTCTTGAAAGTTGCCATATGATTTTAAATTTTGTGATCTAGACATGCCTTAGATAACTATAAAAATAGCAGATCAGAGGATTAATGATACACAAATATACAAGTTCCTAATTATAATCTGTACATATATGAAAATAATGAAAACAGAACTGTACTATTTTTTAAACTATGCTTTTATTTATATTTAACATAATGTAAAATTTTAAATAAAGCTAGCAGGCAAAATCCCTCACTGTATACGTTCAAATCCCTAAAATAATTTTGTACCAACAGAACAAAATACCTTCCAGTTTTGAAGCCTCTGCAGTTCCTAGTTTTCTCATTATCCATTTTGTCCATCTCAGAAGTCTTCATATCCCTTGTATGCAGGATTTCTGCATAGTTTTAAATACTTTCATTAACTGAGGGTTTGGATGTATCAGCTTCTTTTGTTTTAAAATATTTAACACTAAAACCTTAAAATAGTGAAGCTACTTATTAGACCACTGAGCCAGGATCCTGGTATTAAAAGAATGTCTGGGTGCTTAAGATAGAGGAACAGAGTATTGGTATCCCAGTTACTTGGGAGCTTTAACGTTGGAACAAGATACTGTTGTCTTGTTTTCACTTAGATCCTACTTCTAAAGTGAAGCCTATTAACAGAATAAAGCCTTCCTTTAAAGCTACATCATAATCATATTTATTAATAATGATGTTGCGCATACTTATAGTATTGCGTACATTCAGTGTGTGTTGCATGTCTCTAGGCATCCATAAATGAAATCCCTTTCATTGCAAAATGGCAAGCAAGAAAAAACCCTTATTAACCCTGGTGGAAGAAATATTTCTTCTCAGTGCCTCTCCTTGCCCCACCCAAGACTTGAAAAGTGAGATATGTGAAACATGTCTATATGAAGCATCAGCATGGCCTAAGTGCAATGACTTTCATATATACCCTCTCCATTTCAAGTATATTTTTTGACAAGACTAAATCTAAATGTATACGGAAGAATTCTTGTAAGAGCCTAGTACGTATGTGTGAAAAGGCATTTCTATATAATGTGAGAAATACTGGCTGTGAACCAGGGATAGAAAGGTCATGTAAGATTGCAAATTATCCTGACAGAGCCCTGCAAGATAACTGCAGTGATACCAAAAAGAACTATTTGAATAAATGGGTTTTTAAAGTAATTTTGGTTTAAAAGAATTTATATTTCAAAAGCAGAGATGTCAACTGGTAGTCTGTGTAAACAGTGATGCGTCTTTATGCACATGTGTTTTATATCAGAGAAAACTGTTGTCATGCTAATTAGAGATACTTTTTGAATGACTTGATCAAGCTGTGTGTAAAATATTTAACCCATAAGTCAAGTACAGTGTACTATGTTTAATAAAATTATTACACTTAATGCATTTATTGCATATATGGATGTGTACATGAAGAGGCTTTATGTCTTCTGATTATTTGATTTTTGAATGTGTTTTTAAGTCAGTGGTGCCTTTAGGCAAAAACCTTCAAAATTAATCATTCCTTGTGTTTTCTGATTTTTCAGGTAACATGTAAACCACTTAGAAATCATCATAGTTTATTCACCTAAAAATTGATTGTATAACTTAAATATAGCACTTAGATGAGCATTTCCTATAATTAGGATGTTCCAGATAGTTGCTGAAAACAGTTGTGCCATTGACCAATGGTTGATCTTGGTTGGCCTTAATTCTTTTGTGAGGGGGAGAACCATTAAGTACTTCCTTGACTGTTTTCGGTTTGCTCATTTTAAGTTTCTGCTGCTGGTGTTTGGAAAAAAATCAGTTAAGTACTACCAGAAAGTGTACCCGTTTTGTTTTTTTTTTAAATTAAGAACATAAATTTCACAATCTAAAATTTTAATTTTGTGCAATATTTTCATTTAATGCATGTGTATTTGAGTAATTGTAAAATAAATGAATTTTTAATGTTTTGAGATATAGTTTAAACTGTCTTCTTAACCCAACAACTTACATTCCGTTGTTGCTGCATCCTCTTATTGAAGGACTTGTTTTAAAAGTCTTTTTGTCACTTCTTGTAAAATTCTTTTATTAGTAGTAAATTTTGCTTATGGGAGCATGGCTCCTGTATTACAAGGGAAAACATGAAGAGCACATTTTAGGATTAAAATTGTTACAAGATACCTTGTGCATATCATTGTACAGTAAGTGTCAACTGTGTGCCTAATTGTTCTACCAGTACTTCCTTCTTTCACAAAGAAGAAACAATCAGAATGTCAGTTATTTTTATTAACTAAAAAGATTTAAAATTTTTATTTGGTTTGCGTTATATTCTGTCCACTAGAGAATACTAATAAAGTATTAACAAACATTTTCACTGAGTTTATTTAGTAATGTATTTTTGTGACTTTTTAAAAATGTTTGCTCAACCATCTTATTTTTAGCGCTTTGTGTTTATTTTCTTCTCATTTTAGAAATTAAGCAATTAAAATTATAGGGTAATAGATGAGCTTTTGCTGGTGTGATGATGCATGCCTGTAACCCCTGCACTGTGGAGGCCAAGGCAGGAGGCTTGCTCAGGCCAACGTGGCCTACCTAAGCAAGTTCAAGGCCAGCCTGCACTACATAATGAAACCCTATATCAAAAAAAAAAAAAAAAAAAAAAAAAAAAAAAAAGAAAGAAAGAAAGAAAGAAAAAGCTTTTGAATAATGACTTACACTAACTGAATTTAATTTTCTCTTCTGTGGTATGGGTCAAATAATTTACTATCACAGTGTTTACGAAACTTTATATTTCTCTGTGTTAAATTCATATTTTAGGTAATATTGCAGGTATGTTCTGTATCCCTTCTTGTCCCATTTTTTCCCTTCATACTGGAATTTGAGCCTTCAGACTTAGTCATACTAAGTAATTGCTCTACAATTGAGCTACATCTTCATCCCACTTTCAATCCCAAAAGGCAGGAGACTGAGTACTCAGCAGTGTGCCTGTGCTTCTTCACTGGCTATAATATTAGTTGCCTTTTTAGAACCACATCCACGGACTTTTCAGATGTCAGTTGTGATAACTGCTGCTTCACCAGGGACTGGCCTAACCTTTGTAGAATGATGCTGTGATAATCCCCTTAAATCATTCCTAGGTGAGACATTTTATATTATTACGTGATTTATGCAGAAACATCTGTAGTGCTATCCAAAATTCCTTAATGTTCCTTCATAATTAAGTAGAATATCAAAAGTTCTGAGGAATCTATTTAATTTTGCCTAGCTAAATTCCCAAGTGTAGTCAACCACAAATGTTTGACATGAACAGTTTGAGGATCATGTACCCAGGGAATATAGTTTGAAAAATGTTAAATAGGGGAGAAATAAAAGGTATTAGCATCTTTAGTTAGGGAATATAACCTAGACTGAAGCATGGAGTGAGACAATAGGACTTTGTGTTGCAGGGCCCCAAAACCTTCCTGCTGGTGACTTGCTAGAAAGCTCGCAGGACTCCTGTACTCATATTCACAGACAGCTTAAAGATAGAGCAAAAGGAAACAGAATGAGCCCAAAGGAGAAGGCATGTGGGGAGAAGTATGAGAGAGACTGGGCTCAGGCTCCCAGAAGTTCTCTCCCAAAGGACGCACGGGGGATATGCTTAGTTCTCCCAGCAAGGAGTTGTACTAACAAGTGATAAGTGTTGCTAACTGCTAAGACTTCATGCTTCTGGCTCTTGTTTTGCGCAGGAGGTACCTTCTGCCCAAAATCCCAGACTTAGAAGGAAAGCCTGTGTTCAGTGTAAACCTTATCTTGTTCAGGTAGTTTAGGCTTAATGAGCTTTTTACCAGTTCAACTTTATGAGCTATTGGTGCTATTTTATGTTCTGCAACGTACACATAGAAAAACTAAGGCATAAAATGATGTCAGTTGTCCAAAATTTAAGAAACGCGAAGTGCGCAAGCTGAACTCAACTCGGGTAGTTTGGCTTTTGAATCTATGCCATGGATTCTTAATGGTGGCACTGTTGACATTTTGAGCCATGGATATTTAGTAGCTTTCCTAGGCTCTGCCATTCATACTTAACTTGCTTCCCTGATATAACAAGCAAGAATGTCTCTAGACATTGCCAACTGAATTGTTGGGCAAAGTTGCTACCAAGTGAAGGACCACTGACTGAAGTAAGCTCTCAGTCACAAGAACAAAGTAGAACTGAAGACTTTGGCTCTGCTTAAGTTTTGTCTTTTTTTTTTTTATGTCTCATAATTACTTATTAAAAGAAGTGACCAAATGAATCCTGGGCCCAGCACATACATCACACTGAGACACCAGACCTTCCACATCTCTGGGTCCCCTTCACCTCTGCCCCAGGCCCTGGAGCACAGGAGTTTAGTAGAACTCTTCATTGTCAGAGTCTGAGTCAATGCCTTGGTTCTGAATTTGACTTTGCTTGCCGTAGACAGGCCACCTGGGTGCTGGTAGTGGCTTCCTCTGGCTTCTTCATGCGAATAAACCAGGGGAATCAAAGGGAGATCACCTTCTCACTGTCCACCAGTCCCTGGGCCACAGGGTAGATGGAGAGAGAGAAGTCAGCACACTTCACCCACCACACAGCGCTGGGATCCAACCAGAGGTTGGGCATCATAGCACCATCTGCCTGCAAATAGGGCCGACAGGTGGGCAGCACCTGGGCCTGGAGATGCTGGTAATGCTGTCCAGCAGCTCATCGCTGAAGCCCATGCCAAGCTTGCATATGGCATGCAGCTCCTCACTCTCATCGTAGGCAGCCAGTAGGAAGTCCCCATAGCGGTTGACCCACTTTCCCTGGCCCAGGTAAGCACTAATCACCATAAGGTTCAGGGTGTCACCCACACCATCCAGGTAGTCCTTCAGCTTGAGTCAATTGTGCAGCCTCTTGGCAATCTCATAGGTGGCATTGAAATCCAAGGTCTTCACCATCAGCCCCTCGCAGGATTCTTTCACCAACTGCTCCAAGAACTTGGCAATGAGCTCCATGTCCTTGGTGTCCAGGGAGGTGGTGAAAAGAAACTCAGTCTTTCATCTCTACAAAGGTTTTCCAGAGGAGCTGCCAGCATCGCA